GTGGGACTCGATCCCAGGACCCTGAGATCATGACCTGAGCTGAAGGCAGAGGCTTAACCCACTGAGCCACCCAGGCAGCCCGAGGAAGACTAATCTTAAAAGCACTTCCCAGATCTGTGATCTGTTATGCACAGATTATCTCCTCTGCTGCTGAGCAAAGGGAACTGGACCGACATTTCAGGTGTAGGACAGGGAGTCAATATAAATGAGCCCCTTCTCAAGGGATGTCGTTACATCGACGATGTAGTAACTGTGGACCAGTCAGTCCACAGGGTTCCTTCCCTTATATTTTTCAGATCAGGGCAGATGCCAGTATGTCCAAAATAGCTTTAGGGACATCACTAACTGAAGATGGGCTGAGTACCTGGCGGGCTTGGGTGTGTGATGTAGCTCCTCCTGCAGCAAGCACACTGTGCACATAGACAAGGGAAGAAAGGAGGAGACTGGTAGGGCCGGGGAAGCCTATTCAGTATCTCCTATTCATCGTGCCCTGTGCGTCTAGCAAGTCAATGTGGTTTCTTTCCCCCCATGCATTTGCAGCCTGTTGGGGTATGAAAAGTAAATACATGAGTGCCAGTGAGCAAGATACAGTGTGGTATTCATTATCCCGTGATAGAACCAGCATGACCCTAAAATGTTTACAGAACCGAGAAATTAGGAGGACTTACAAAAGAATTTGCTTCCCTAATATATTGAAGGCCATTTATATACACATCATTTCTTCTTTTTCGTCCATGAAATATGAAGGGAAAATGATTGAATCTGCTGCTATTTGAGAAACATCAGAAAATACCACAAATCATGTCTAAAACTGTAATGTAAATTCGTTAAAATTTGTTTTCCTTTCCAGAAGACAGTATATCAGCCTCCCCCATCCTTTTTTTTTTATTTTTATTTTTTTTTTTTGAGCACTCCTCAGTGCCACAGGATGATGTGTGCTGTCTGTACTATAAAAATGTTAAGGAAGAAGCTTCCTTGATCCCATGTCAGAGCAGGGTACACAGGGTGTTTTGTAATAGAACTCTGGAAGGTCAGACTCAACCCTGAGACCAGCTGAATTCAGATTCTTCTCTCCCTCCTTTTCTTCCTGCCCCCTGCTGGAAGTTTTCTTGGAGCTGGAACAGGAGACAAAGGAGGCCGGGTCCAGCCACCGTCAGCAGAAAGGCTCAGCAAGACTGAGTTTGGGTCTTGGTTGGAATTGCAACAAGACTTCACTAACATTTTTTATAAAGTTAACGTTTTATTTAAAAAGTCGGTACAGTTTATGCGAATTAATTCTAACACATTTATTATGAATGAAACATTCCTTCTTTCTCTAGGTTTCACTGAATTGATGCTGTTTTATTTCGGCTGTTCTCTTAAGTTATGTTGATTGTCAAAATTGGAGAATGGATTTTCAGCTATGTGTGAACATAAAAGTAATTCACATGTTCCAAGCAGAATAATCATGAAATAGAAATAATATATAAATCTCCTATCACCTGTTTCTAGAATTATAATTACTTTAAAAGGTATCCTTCAGATTTTTCTATATGGATACACATATTTTATTTAAAAGTCATCATATTTAATACTATTTTGCAATCTGCTTTTTTATTTAATGGCCCTGAACATATTTTTACATTAAATAAACGTAGGTGTATAAAATCATTTATAAATGGGCGCATCCTCTTCTTGGGTGATCTAGCTCTGCCACGCTTTAGTCAGTCATTTCCCAGTCATTAGTCCATTTCTAGCTGTTACAATAACTTTACATACTTGTTTACTCAGTTGTCTGATAACTTCTGAGCATAAATATCTAGGCGCAGACTTCTGAGGTCATTTTTAAAGCTTTGACTCCCCAGTACTAAAGGATTCTCCAGAAAGGCTGTGAGTTGAGGGCACCTGCTTCCCTGCGTAGGACCATTGCTGTACTGTTCTGAGTACCAATTTTACTAAACACCCAACCTTCCAGCCACAAATCGCTTCATTAAAAAAAATTCCTATTATTCTCACATATCTTCAAATGAATTGATAACATTTTGGAAGTTCTATAAATAATTCCTTTGGGGTTTTCTTTATGCTCCCATTAAAATCACAGATTAACTACTAAAACTTGGGCTTTTCAGTGAGAATTTTGAGTCTTATCCAGGAACATAATGTACATTTATGTAGCTCTCCTTTTATATCTCTCAATAAGAAATTTTTGTTTTTGTCATGTAGCTAGTGCACCCACATCTGTTTCTACTCATTACTGACTTTTAGAGCTATGGACTTACCCTGTTTACAACTTCGACTGCATCCCCTAAAGTTTAGATGTGTGCAGTATTTGTGTTCTCATTTTCAAAGTGCTCTGGTCACAGTTTGATTTCCTCTCTTACTCGAGAGTATAGAGTTTTTTTGTTTGTTTTGTTTTGCTCTTTAGTTTCAGCTTTGCTCTGTATTTCTTATCCTTTGGTGTTCATTTGCTTAATTTTGTTGTCACCTGAGAAAAATAAGTATTTCTTAAAGTTCTTGTCTGTTTGATGGAAGGGCTCATTCTTGTGGAAGTGGGAGTGGGAGATTTCCCTTATTCCCTAGATAAGTCCTGTTGTTTTCAAATACTGGATTCTTCCATATGGCTGGTGTTTTTTCTTGTTCGTGTTTACTGGGAGAAGTCTATATTCAGTATTCACAGTTGTAGTTGCTGTGAATATGTCATAGATTTTGTGAGGATTTGTCCAAATCTTTTATTCTGGACATGGTAGGAGAAGGAAGTTCTGTGTTTTCCTTCCTGCCTGAATTGGAACACAATTGCCTGTTAGGGAAGTGGCTTCCAAAGGGTGTAAATATTGGTGTTATGTGTTAAGAGCCTGCTTGCTGTATCCACTGAGGCAGTTTGAGGTTCTCTTGTAGGGCACAGCCTGCCACTGATGGGCACCCACCGCAGTGCCCCCAGATCTCTTTCCTCCTTCCAAGCTCTGTGGCCCAGTGACAGCATGAGTGGCTACTCGGGTTACACTGCCAGTGCTGATCACTCTCTCTGTGTCCCTGAGTGCGATTTTCCCATGCCGCCCCTTACCTCCACCACTATGACGCTGAGCGTGAGGTGTTTGGGCTTACTGGCATCTGCCCTACCACCTACTTCCCAGATGGGCTCTTTCTTGTAATGAGTTAAATTGTGGCCTTCACTGAGGTCTTGTTTCTGTCATAGTTTATAGATCTCTTCATTTAGAATTGGGGGCATATTTAGTTTTCCTAGCACAAGTGTGGAATGTTCCCCTCTCACACAGCATTGGTCATCTCTAGGTGGGATCGGAGGGAGAGGAATTTGATGCCATGTGACACCACACTTTCCTCCTCACTACCCAGTCAGCCATTCCTCCTAGCAGGTGGCTATGGGGTGCTTCTGGGGCCCAGCCCACTTCTGAAAATCCCCTCCCTTGGATCCAGGCCACAGGTGGAAGATAGACATTGTGATCGTATCAATTCCTCACGTTTAATGTCATTGTTTTTAGTTACCCATCTTTAGTGGAATGTGTAGCAGGAAGGATAATCTCAGGCGTTCTCCTCCTTCCCCAGATTTCAAACTTACCCTGTCACAAAATAGTGAACCTCTTCAGCGACCTCCTTGGCTCTTTTTTTTTGCATCATGGTGGAGGGAGAGGAAAAATCACAGAGATGGGCCTAAGGGTCTTTAACTGGGAGTAGGGAGGCGTGGTGGTGGTGATTTCTTACTTAGAACCTGGATTGGAAAGGGACAAGATGGGTGGGAAGATCTTTGAGAGCAAAGAGGATACCCTGTATCTGTCTGGTGGGAAGACGGGATACCATATGGTCAGTAAAAGCCCTCCCTCCAGTCTCCACTATGGACCGGGTGAAGCCACCTTTCTTTTCATGGATAATAGAGAACTTCAGACGTTTATGTCATTTTAAAGTGACCATTCTCAGTGTATTTGTGAATGTGGACACTTACTTAATTTTAGGGTTTTGGTGCATATTTGTCTTGTGTTTGCCCCTTTTTTGACTATGGGAGCCTAGCTACTGAGAAATATCTGCAAGAAATATAAATAAAATGTGAATTTATTCTCTTTCTCCTGGTACCTGTTTTTCCCCTTTAAGGGTGGGAAAGAACACAAAATACACTAAGGTAAACTGAAATTTATTCTAAAGATAGGAATTTTTACAATTCTGTGATCAATTCTATCCTTAGCCTTGCTTTTAAAAGATAAACATATATTTCAGGATTACATGTCTGAAGTTATATATTATAAATTATATATTATATAAATTATATTATGTTATATAAATGTCTTAAGGGATTTAAATTGGGTACATCAAGAAAAAATACTGTATCCTTAATAATGCATGAATTACTAGAACTATATCTTCACTAGTCTTAGAGATTTTAACCAGTTATATTTGGTAATAAAATTTATCTGGCAGATTTTTTTTTTTTAAAGATTTTATTTTTAATCAGTCTCTACACCCAGTGTGAGGCTCGAACTTAAAACCCTGAGATCAGGAGTCGCAAGCACAACCGACTGAGCCAGCCAGGCACCACCCTCCCCAGCAGATTTTTTTTTTTAATAGATTCTTCCTTTTAAAATAAAGACCCTGGCTAACTATGAACTTCTTAAAAAAAGTTTAATCCTAAAGCAAGTTTATCTTATTTTATGACATGAATTACTGTTCAAACATCATTGTAAAATTATTTTTCTCGGGTTAAATGAAAAACAGGCTTCTTCTAACTATTACAGTTTAAACTGTGACTAGTAGTTTATTTTCAAGGAAAAAAATTACAAAGTTTTGATTTCCCCAGTTACAAAATAAATTAATTTCTGGGCAATCATTTAAAGAACTTTCTGTGACACAAATCTTGACTGACGAATTTTTCTCCATGAATTTTGGTATTTTGGTGCCATCTTGTGGCTTGACTTTGTAGTAACTTCAACATTCCGAGGACCAGCCAAAAAAAAAAAAAGGTAAGAAACCTAATATATGCTTCTCAGTTTCTAAACATCCTTTGTATTTGTCCCTAGTTGCTGCTCTTTGAACGATCTTGGATGAGCAGATGGAAGTCTTCTGTTCTGCACGAAGGAGAAGGGAACATAAGGAGCGTGAAGTGGAGAGGCCACCTGATTGCTTGGGCCAATAATATGGTAAAATCACATCTTCATCTTCCTGATCCTTCTTCAGAGCCAGAAAAGTGGACACATTGGGAGAGCTGTGACAAAGGGAAAGAAGCCACCGGCTGCAGTGGTCTTTTCTAAGACATTCAAGTGGCGACTGCTCTCATACCTGGAAGGTTAAAGAGATTAGATTGCTTTCGGCTTTCATAATAGAGTAATTCCCAACATATTCTGGACTTTATCTTGGAGTAAGAAACCCGAGGCATGGAGAATAGCCAAGAAAATGAAAAGGCATCTTAATAATTGAAGGGTTGCATTGGGAATGCGGTATTGAAAATACCATTTGCCTATTAGCCAAGGGCAAGTATGTTGCTGTGGAACAAGTACAGGATATTGCTGATTTCATTTTACTCCCCATATAATCACAGGTGGAAAAGAGGCCTGCCTTTTAAAAAGTAGATTGTAATTTTTGGTGTTGCACTCTATTTAAAGTTTACTCAATATGAGAAAGGCTGAGTAGAAACTTTAAAAATTAATTTTTGACATCTGGCTTATCCTTTAAAATTTCAAGGTATAATTTAGTAAATTTGTCCTATTCAGTTTTAATAGTAGAACTCTCCCAGAACCCACCTTGCTATTCAGGACTTTTCTTAAGCTTCTCCCAGGTCACAGTTAAGGGTAAACAAACCTGTGACCTCTTGGTTTATTTTTAGTTAGCTGCTTGCTTGATGTTTCCATTTCAGTGTTTTAAAATGTCAGGTATAGTTTTCTTTTCACATAGTGGTTTGTCAGATTCAAAGCTTTTCTAAAAAAAAACCTCCATTTTTTTTTTTAGTGGAACAATACAATTAGAAATGTTACTTGTCCGTCATTTTGGAAATGCGGTGGTGGATATCTGTTCCATTTCCCATTTGTGTTGTGTTTGAGCCCCTGATGCCATCTACTAATAAAATCTCTTTTGTCCCCAAAGAAGGGTAGAGGTTTTCTTTTGTTGTGGGTCCTCACAGGGTTTGTGTGGAGTGGAGCATTTTCTCTTGCATGGCTCCCAGCGGTGCTCAATAAACACTGTCAATATTTCCAGGTGCTGGTTATTGGTGGTGTGTGGCAGGGGCTGTTAATAAGTTTTCCTCTCCTTTCCTTCTCCCGAGTAGAGGATACTTAATGCTCTTGTATTTTTCAGGGTGTGAAGATTTTTGACATCACCTCCAAGCAGAGAATCACCAATGTGCCCCGGGATGACATAAGTCTGCGCCCAGATATGTATCCGTGCAGCCTCTGCTGGAAGGACAGCGTGACGCTGATTATTGGCTGGGGGACTTCCGTCAAGGTGGTTTGCTTGTCTTGATAATAAGTCCATGTTGTTAAAAGATCCACTGAGGAGGGTCCGAAGGAGTATGAGGTCTTGAGTGGCTTCTAGGAAGCAAAATATTTACCCCTGAATATTCACATTGTGTGATATTTATGCTGAAATCCTTTCATATGCAGAAATTTGGAGATACTGTCTTTCTTTCCCTTTTGTGTGCAAAACACACTGTGAGCTCTTCCTTGCTGCCACCTGTGATCTTTAAATCTCCCCCACTTGGTCGACCTTAGCTATTTATGGAACGTGTGGTTGTTTTCGTTGGTTTGTCAGGTTTCCCATTCTTTATTGTTCTCTCCATTCCCCTTAGTTTCTTCATTAGAGTTGATGATCGTGGGAAGAGAATGTTAAAACTGAATCATCCCACTTGCTTGGTCATAGTTGGATGGAGCAGAGATCCAGACTTATTATTGATAAGATTAGGGGCTGTTTTGTGGCATGCGGCCTTCTGCTCCTTGTGTGCCTGGGTAAATGAAATTCAGCCATTCTACAAAAGAGGACCCAAAGCTCACTCACATTTATTTTTCGTGTACCAGTGTTTGTCTTGTATTAGGTATTTCAGAACCCAAAGTTGTTGACTTCCCTTTAAAAATATATAGCTTAATCTAAACAAAATAAACCAAAAAATCACTAAGAATGGTACAATACTGTATCCCAGCGACAGTCTGGTGGCACAGCCAGGCTTTAGAGTCACACAGGTCTGACACGTACTTCCTGTGTGAGCCTAAGCCTGACTCTCCTCATCCACAAATAGGAGTATGGATTGTTCTCCTGTCCTGAGCTCTGGAGAGGATTGAGTGAGGTAATGCCTACAAAGAGCTTAGCATAATCTGACATGTTGTAAGTGCTTCATAAACCTCAGTTGTCATTATTTTGCCGCAAAATTCTAGAACAGTCTTGAAAGAGACATGGTTATTTAAAATGTACTCTTTTCCGGAAAAGGAACGCTCAAAAATTATTAATGCGGTGCTGCTTACTAACCAAAACTAGCATTGTTAACTTGAGGTAAGGTCCTCCTAGCCCTTAGGTTGCTATGATTCTAGTTCTCCTTTCTTTAATTGTTTTCACGTATCAAGTGAACATAACCTGATTCATATTTAGGATAGCAGAAGGGAAGGCATGCCAAATAGTCTAGGGTTTTTAAAAAAAAAAAAGTGAAAGTGATTCTCTAGTCTCCTTATCCCATTTGTGTGGTTACTCATCCAATAAATGGTTCTTGATACTTTTTTTAATTTCCTTAAATGGACCAAGTGGCTTTTGGTTGTTGTTTAAAGTTGTGATTTTCTTTTCTTTTGGTGAAAGACAAGGAAAATTAAGCTTTAGGGACACAGAAGTTTATTGAATGCTACTGGAAATGCCTTCTTTCTTAAGCTGAATAGTGGCCCACAAAGATAGCACATCCTAATCCCACACCCCATAAATGTTTCTTTATATGGCACAAAATACAATTAATGAAGGATCTTGAGATGGGAAGATTGTCCTGCATTATCTGGGTCGGCCCTAAATGCACTCCCGAGTATTCTTAAAAAAGGAGCGCCGCCACAGGAAAGGGGAAGGCAGTGTGAGCAGAGAGGCCGAGACTGCAGTGTCACGCACAGCCAAGGCTGTGCTGGCAGCCACCGGAAACCGGAGGTGGCATGTCACAGACAGATTCTCTAGAGCCTCTGCGGGGAGTACAGCCCTGCCAACACCTTGATTTGGGCCCCGTGAAACTGGTTTTAGACTTCTGGCCTTCAGAAGTTGGAAAGGAAAAATTTCTGTTATTTTAAACCACCAAGTTTGTGGTAATCTATTAGAGCAGCTGTGGGAAACTAGTATGCTTTCACTGTGCCCATATTATGATCCAACTCATGTGTGAAAATTTTTTCATGTCAAATGTTTCTTTTTATTTATTGGGGATTCCTCTTCTTCGGACTCAGTTAGTAGTACGTTGGGTACTTCTCAATTGAGAATCCCCGTGTTCTGCTGAGGGAAGAGAAGAAAGGACATAATCTTTCCTCCCAGAGAGCAGCCTTATTGGGGAGACAGCCACAGGATATAGCAGGGTTTGCAGCCCGAGCCGTTCATTCATTCATTCACTCGGCCAGCAACCACTTACCGAATTCCCGAGATGTTCTAGTGGGGCAAGATGGACAAGCAAGTGAATATGCCACGTTGATGGAGGTAAATAGCAAGGAGGGTAGTTAAAGAGGGAAATGGGGAAAGGGCCAGGGGTGGGTGCCTGAGAGCGATCAAGGGAAGACATCTGTCATAAGGTACGTGTGCTTTGGCAGAGATCTGGAGGAAGATCTGTGCCAGAGGGATGTTGGCAAGGGTAGCGGCCAGGGCAAGATCCTTGAGGCAGCAGTATGATTGGCGTGTCTTTGTGCAGTATAAAGCCGTTATCACCAGAGCGGATGGAGCAGGTGTGGAGGAGAGAGCTAGAAGTCCTGAGGGGGGAGGAGGAGGGTGGGAGGGGGTGCATTGTGGAGGGGCTCACTGGCCTTGGTGCCAATTTTGGCTTTTTTTTTTTTTTTCAAGATTTTATTTATTTATTTGAGAGAGAGACGGTGAGAGAGAGCATATGAGGGGTGAAGGTCAGAGGGAGAAGCAGACTCCCCAACGAGCTGGGAGCCCAAGGCAGGACTCTATCCTGGGACTCCGGGATCATAACCCAAGCCGAAAGCAGTCACCTAACCAACTGAGCCACCCAGGCGCTCTCCAATTTGAGCTTTTAATTTGAGTGAGGTGGGAAGCCAGCACAGGGGTTTTGAGCAGCAGACTTAAACAGTCAAACTTGGATTTTGCATAGAGCCAAACAATGAAGGGTCCATAAAGATGGGAGATAGGGTAGGAGGCTACTGCAGGAACCTCCCTAAAAATCCTGGCATGTTGGTCAGCCTCGTGGAGCTGGTGGGGAATGACTGCATTCTGGGTGTATTTTGAGGGTAGACCCTGTCATATTTATTGATGGTTCAATGGGGGGTGTAAGAAGAAGACAGAAGACAATGATGACTCCTTTAACCTGAGAAGCTGGGAACCGAAGCTGCTTTTTCCTGACATGGGTAACACTGCTGATGGAATACATTAAGAGAGCAAGTCAGGAGATGTTTTTGTGTGGGTCCACTTGAGATGCCCGTTAGGTCAGTGGAGAAGTGGAGGAGACTGCTGGATGAAACACATTAGCATTCATGGGTGAGAACCTGCCTATCAGTATAAAGGCTCTTGAGATCATTGATCTGCTCTTAGGGGGGACATGAGCTCAGGGCAGCATTTCACCCTTCCCCCACCTGCAGCTGCTGCTGCTCCTCTGAGGCAGGTGTGGGATAGAGCTCAGACCACAGAACTGGGGAGTGGTGGGGGAGAGAAGAGAGCCCAGCTGCCAGAACTTCCACGCGTCCCAGTCTTCAGAGAGCTTGTCACAGGGCTGAGAAACAGTCCGGCCTCAGCCTGAGTTCCCTTCTCCCAAGGAGCCTTCCGCCTCTGCTGGTAGACACCACTGCTTTGTACCTCTGTACTTGCCCTTCCCACTTGAGTAAAAGGACTTCTTTGTGTGTCTTCCTCACTTCCCCATACTCTTTCTAAGGAAAGAGCTATGTCTGTTTCTCCCAAAGCTCAGGATTGGTGCCCAGTAGTCGCTCAAAGTGCTGCTTAATGTTGTTCATTTACTTTCTGTTACTCTGCTTCAAACCATTTGAGATGCTTCTCATGTGCTTTTATCAGCACATTAAGACAGTTGTCCCTTGGGCACTGTGAGGCATGGCTGATAGACCAGTAGTTTGCCTAGCAGGTGTGGATAGAAGAATCAAAAGTCTAACAAAAGGAGAAGGAAATTGGGGAAACGGACAGGACACTAAGATGGACAGGAGACAAAAAACAATAATGGTATGGTAATTGTTGGCTTAATAAAAGTAGCTTCCAAAAAACAACCAAAAAAAGGAGCTTCCAAACAAAAACGATTATTAATGTATTCACTTTGTACTGGGACAGTAGGTAATGTTTGTTTTTTCTCTTTGGGTTTTTCTGTATTTTAGAATTTCCTATATTGTAGCTAAATTTAGGGTAGTAGTATTTATTGTGTTGTTTTATAGTTACCTAAAGAAAAAGGAAAAAACCTGATCCCTGATGAAAGTTGTATAGAATCAGTATTTAACTTCAGATTGTCTTACCTTGATGGCAGAATTTATGTAAATTTTTGTTGTCTTATTAAAAAATAGAATATATTCATTTTAGAAAATATAACAAAGAAAACAAATTATCCATAGTCTCGTCACACTAAAATAACCATGGTTAATACACATGTATTGTTTGGGGTGTGTGTGTGCGTGTGTGTGTGTGTGTGTGTGATAAATGCACACACGTATATATCCAAACTGTATCCATATAACTTAAAAGTTGGCAAACTTTTTCTGTAGCAAGTAGTAAATACTTTAGACTTTGTGGGCTATTACTGTTTCTGCTGAATATTTTTCTTTTTCTGTCTTCCTTCTTTTTCTAGTCTTCCAAAATGTAAAAAACTCTTTCTAGTTTACAGGTCATAAAAAGACCAGTCAAGGACAGGCTGTAGTTTGCCTAACCCTGACTTAAAGTATATAATACACTGATTTTAAAACACTTTTTTTTTTTTAATTTTAAAACACTTGAGAGAAAAAAGAAAAAATAAAAACACTTGAGAGAAGAGCTTGATGCCACTTATGCAAAGTATTACTTAGCAAGAGTGAAATAAATGATGGGTATGTAGTCAGAAACACAAGCCCTAATGTGAATGTTGTCCAGATTAGCCACTGGGCTTTTGGTTATGTGCTTCCACCAGAGCTTTGTTTGGATGATGACAGAAGTAGTCCTTAAGTAGAGTTGCAGAGAATGGGTCGCTGGAGACATGTTAAAACAGTATTACAGTTTCCATTCTTTCTTTGTCCTTGAATAAGACTTTATTGAAGAATAATGTTGGAGAACATGAGTAATGGCTGCTATATGTCATTGAAATTAATTTCTATCATTTAAGTCATTGAGTAGATTATGTGCACTCCCTCTCAGTGCTACATGGCTAATTTAACAAAAGTATCATGTATTGAATGAAATGTTATGAAGAGTTTTCCATCACCTGAGTAAAATAACCTGTGAATTTATTTTCTAGATCTGCTCAGTGAAGGAGCGGCATGCCAGTGAAATGAGGGACTTGCCGAGTCGCTATGTTGAAATAGGTAAGCCTTCTAGGGGTGAATAATGTCTAAAGAGAATCTGTTTTAGTAAAGGGAAACCCAAAATCATGTTTGTCTTCAGGGCTCATCACTTGGGACCTGAGTGAAGCAGGTCAAGAACTTTTAAGTTTTGAAACTTTGCTGTAGAGTCCCTCTTTTCTAACTGTATTTCCAATTTTTACATGGTATCTTTGTAGCTGGCTTTGAAGGTAAGTAACCGTGGGTTCGCGCTCTGTTGTTTCCTGCCTGCACTTAGGACAATTGCTCCACGAACTCTCATCTAGAAAAGGTGAGGCGGAACATCTTTCCCACAGGTTGTGGTTGTGAGTTCAGAACATTTGTGCACGCGCAGCTCATCACACGGAGCTGACACCTGGTTCTGTCCACGTGTACCCTCTGAATACGAATTTTCATCATCACTGGTCTGGGCCCAACTGCTGTAATCTTTTCTGTGGATCCCTGCAGCAGCCTCCTGACTGGGTTGTCTCCTGCCACTGTGAATTACAGTGATCTGGTCTCCCCACTGCAGTCAGCATACAAACCAGATCATGTCCCCACCCTTCAGCCTGTCCCCGTTGTTTGTGGCACGGAGAGGAGACTCTTGGCTTGAGCGCAGAGGTCTGTGCTGGCCCTCCCCAGCCTCCACAGTGTTGGCCGAGACAAGGCTTTTCCTTGGTGTCTGCACTGCAGCCACACTGGCCACCTTTCACCCAGCCATGCTCCCTCTTTGGGTCTCTGTAGAAGGCCCTTCTCTCCTCTTGGCACTTCCTTGACCCTTAATCATTCCTCAGCTCAAGTATTGCTTGAGAAAGCTCATCGGGAGAGCGCATGGGACCTTGACAATGAGGTCAGACCCTCCCCTGGGAAGCATGGGTGTGAAGGGCAGGTCGGTCCCTTGCCCCACACTGTAAGCTCCCCGAGAGCTCGCTCTGGGTCTGTTCTTGCTCACTGTTTGTATCTCCGGGGCGTGGCCCGATGTAGGTTCAAAGTAATACCGAGTATTGAAGGGATCCGTGACTCAGGGAAACACCTATTCGGGAGAAGGATGCCAAAGATGAGCTACCACTACTTTTTACATCTTGGTCTTATACCCTAGTGTAAAAGTGATTCAGACAGAAAGGATGAGAGGAGAATGACTTTTGCCAATTAAACAGATACAGTATAAGCTGTTTGGGGACTGTTTAGAACAAAGCAGTAGGAGACAAAGTTGTGTGACAGAGAAGTTTTTGCCACATAAGTCAGCTGAGAAGTTCATTTACCTATTTGGATGATGGGTGGGGAATATCACTTTGAGGGGTTCTTGTAACAAGGCGAAGCGAAATCATTTGCACATGACTGTGATTCTAAAACCAGAATGGTGTGTATTACTCCCATGGCTCATATGGTCAGAGCATTTCAGTCTGGGATATTTTGTACTTGAAGACAGAAGTGGATGGTAGGGTTTTAATAATTTTTTGCCTTAGAAAGAGAAATAAGTGCATAGTTGGGATTGCTCAGAGTATGGACAGATCAGGCCTATGTAGGATATAATGGTTTGAGAAGAACTGAAGAACAAGACTGGAGAAGACTGGAAACTACCAGGTCACGATCATTACTTCAGTGTCTATCTTCTTTTCTGCCTCCCAGCAAAATCCTCTGAACACCTCCCGGCATAGTGTCCTGATGGAGAAGTGTTCCAATTTCTTAACTACTGATGAGTGGGGGAATAAAAATTTTAAACTCTGGGAGTTTTTAAGGATGGAAGACTTACCAGGAAGACATAAAAGTGTCACAAGTGTCCCCTCCTTAGCTGATGTTGATTGCTCACACACGAGGCGTGGGCCATTCCCCTGTGTGCTTTAACGAGCATTGGTTCACTTCACCCTCATCACAGCCCCCGTGACCGTGGGGGCTCAGGGATGTAAATATCTTGTGTCAGATCTTACTACAGTGGCGTTAGAAATGGACAGGATCTAACTGCAGAACCACCACCAGCTTCTGGAGACATAAGGCAGTTTGCCAAATTCCTGTATGACCTTGGTGAACTTGCTTTGCTTTCCTGAGTCAGGCTTTCCCCACCCATAAAGTGGGGGCGATAGTATCTACCTTTGCAGTCGGTTGTGAGAATGAAACTGAAATAACGCCTTTATCACAGTGCTTGGCATACAGTAGGCACTCACTGAATCATGGTAGTGATTATCACTGTGCAGACTTCCAGCCCAGTTCTGTGACTGCTAATAGCTGGCCCAGTGGTGGCCCCAGAGCCCTGGGATCACGTTATTAAAGTATAGTTCATATGTCCTACAATTTACGTGAAATAGACCATGTGTGGGTACTGGCAATATCACATTACTGGCGTTTTACTACTATGGTTAGTGGTTAAGTACCATCTTTTCCCCCTCTTGAGAGCAAACCTTTAAGAATATAAACCATTTCCATAGCGGGAGGCAAAGTGGTTTAGATAAGAGTCCTTGACCAGGATAGAGGAAAAGAGAAATATTAGGAGGTCTGGATTACAATTTGCTTTAGCCCTGAATAGTGTGAGCCACTGTTCTTTAGTAAATGAGGTGAAAATGGCATTGAGGTTAAAGAACTATTGGTGGCTGTACGTTTCTTAGAAGCCAGATGTTTATAACTCTTACTTATAAGTCAGAATCTCGAGAAAAACACAAGAGCTTTCGCTCTCCATAAGGATATTAGTTGATTCTTATAAATGAAAAATAATAACGATAATAAGGATTAAGCTTACTGGGCAGTCACCAACCCATGAAGACATTCTCTGTACATAAGGTTTTTTGGATGGCATTTCTTTTTCCAAACTACATTGTTAAAAGTAGGTTATGGTTCTAAGCCTGGCATACTTATTTGAACTTGGGTCTCTTGCGTTATTACAGGACTCCCTCCCTCTTTGGCCAAAGTCTTTCACCAAAAAGGAGTCCAGAGACTTTCACCAAAGTCTTCCAAGGGCTTCATGGGGCAGTTAGACAGTGTGGAGAAATGAAGCCAGTGTTTGTGGATCATTTTCTGGGTATCTCCTTCCAGGGATAGAGGACTTACGTGCAAGGAATTCATGAACGACTTCCCGGTCTTGATTTCATTTGGAAGCTTATTTCAAAAAAACTAATAAAGGGAAAAAACTATATGGGAATCTATTTAAAATGGCAGAAGCCAGGAAGAGAGAGAGGGCGGAGGGGGAAAGGACATCTTTTTCTCTTTAATTAAGCAGTGATCATATCTTCAGTTGATTATATGCTGTGGCTCTTAGAATTTAGCACATTGTTCTGTTTTTAGCCTCTTGATTGATTGGGAAAACAGTGACCTGGAAATGAGACATCTGTGTAGTGGTGGAGGCGAGCTGTGAGGTGAATGTCTTTCCTGGATCTAAACGTGTCTCACCATCCACCTGTTGGGCTGTGCTGACCCAGTCATGCAGCTTCCAGCAGGAGACAGTTGTCCTGCCCTGAGTCACGTGGCTCATCCCCTAGCCTGAGGCTCAGCAGGAATTGGGACATTGCTGGCATCCTTTACGGTGTTTTTGCTTAAGGATCTAGCTTTGAATGGTGTTCTGTTATAATTCAGTTTGACTCTATTATCTCTTAGTTCTTCTGTTATGCATTAAATTTTTTCCCTGACATTTTATTATGAAAAAATGAAAACATACAGACAGGTGAAGAATTTTCACAAAAATAGCACCCACATACTCAGCCCTTAGGTCCTGCAGTAAAGATTTTATTGTACTTGCTTTATGACATGTCTATTCCTCTAGCCACTCCTCCCACTCAGTATGGGAGACTCAAATGTTTGTTGTTGTGTGTTAAATTCATAAATTTTGTCAGTAACAAGTATTGGCAAGAGATCTGAAACACCTGATGTAACAAATATGTTTTGCTCCTTTTATAAAAACGACCACCAAGCACATGCCAAGTACAATTTCATTTGATCTTCACAGTGATCCAGATGAGTAGGGGCTGTCATCCCATTTTATCCCGTTCTTCTATCTGAAGAAGCTGAGGTTCAGAAGGGTCAGGTAACCTGCTCAAGATCATTCCATTTGTAAGCAAAGAAGGCAGCATTTGAACTCAGGATAGGCCAAGTTTCAAAGGTGTTGCTCTCAACCCCTGTCCTATATGTTCTTCCATGCGTTCCTCTCTCTGAACCTGCCCTCCATTATAGCCAGAGGAACTGATGAGAAGGATAGAGGCTTACTCTGGGCATTCAGATAAAAACCATAGGGTAGAAATTGTCTAGAATCCAAACACCCCTTTTAATATGACAGTAATCCTGTCTGCTCACCTTTTCTTCAAATAGCCAGATGAAATGGAGTTGTTTTTTCTTTATTTTGGTTCAGCAAAGTATTTCATTTAGAGTAGAGACTTTAGTTCCCCTTGTTTTATTCTAGGGCTGATAGCCCTTCCTTGTTCTTCCTCCAAATTGCTAGGAATATCTAGACTATAGTTGCCTTGGGTGGCTAACAAAATGGTTTCTAAGGAAAGGGAACCAAGTCCAGATTATGATGTGATTCTTTCAATTGTCTGAAAAAGAAGAAATGCTCTCGTTTGCTATTTTTTAGTGCTTGTAGTTGATGCATCAAGGTAGTTTTGGGGGTGTTTTTGGTCTCCGAAATTGTTTTTTAAGTTTTATTTTATTCTGGTAAGAACACTTAAGTTGAGATCTACCCTCTTAAATTTGTAAGTGTACAATACATTATTGTTGACTGTGGGCAGACTGTCGTACAGCAGATCGCTAGATCTCATTCATCTTACCTACCTGAGACCTTAGGCCCATCGCTCAGCCATTTCCCATTTTCCCCTTCCTTCCACCCTTGGCAACCACCATTCTGCTCTTTGACTCTGTGAGCTTGATTTTCTAAATATGTTAGAAATGGAATCACGCAGTATTTGTCTTTGGCTTGTTTCATTTAGTGTAATGTCCTCAGGGTTCATCCATATTGTTGCATGTTGCGCAGTTTTCCTCCATTTTTAAGACTCAGTAATGTTCCGGTGCCTGCGTCCACATTTCCTTCA